TATAGCTTAAAAAAAAGCCAATAAGCATTTGCTTATCGGATAGTTGACTAGCTGTTCACATCTATTACCTATGCTGCATAACTCCTTAAACCATATGCACAACTTAAGTGAGTAAAATTTATGATTGTGTTGTAACTATCCGGGGAGCCAGCTTAAAAGCCAGTTCCCCACAGCAGTGTCCCCACAATGTGGGGTTTTTTTGGGGGGGAGCAAGTGAGGCAGACCCACAGCAGTTGTGGAGCCTCTTACTAAATTTAAACTGCAGATCCACGTGAGGGTAGCATGTGCTCCCATCAACTAATCTAGTCAGTGGAAACTCCATCAGCTACCCAATTACCTAATTAACCACTACTTAACATCCCTATTTGTAACTTCAGCATATTATCTAATCAAATATAACTTTGGGGAAAATCTTCTAATTGTTGATTGGTAGCCAAGACTTCATTTGACCATCAATGAAGATACACCTGTCCCTATTTTTTTTGGGGGGGGGGGGGGGGGAGATAGTGTCAAGTAATTTCCATGTAAATATTTGCTTCTGTGTCAACACTTCTACTTCTGAATTCTTGGACTGTTCAGACTTAGGGACAAAAACTAGCTTTAATACAGACTTAATGTCTTTTCTGCTGGTCTGAGAGAGAACTAGAACCAAGACTAATAAATTACTGCAAATTCAAAACAATTAAACCTGAAGAATATTCATCTGGCTTTGAAATCTAAATCTGACCAGACAGATATCAGTGTTGATCTAGTTTTTGCTGTGGCTATCTGCAGATGTGGTATAGAAAATAGTGTGGTATAGTCTCAGTAGGCATGATCAGATTATTTCACTTGGCTACAGTCTGGAGCGTTGGTATTTTAACCATATGAATTTGTTGCTATAATTCGAATTTGGGTTTTATAGCTTTTCAGAGATAGAAGCTGCCGCTGATGGGAGGCTTCTTTCTGATCTCTTGCCTACAAATCTTATTTCAAGCAGAATGACTAGTTTATTTTACATTGGCAGTTGCAACATAGTATTTATCTTTTGCAAAGCCTCAAACTGATCCCCCTCAAAGTAAGGTTTCAGTCACTATGGTTGTGAAGGCCACTGACATTGAACTTGTCATGACTTCGGCTCTTAATTCTTTTAACTAGGCTACAACTATCCCGGGCTTAGTTATTTTTGGTATGTTGCAGGGGAAGAGGGATATTAACTTTTGGCTTGAACCCTAGGAGTTTAGTTGTACCATGATGCACAGAGTACTGTGAAGAGAGGGATATTCCCATGAAGGATCCTTGAAAGTCCTTGTTTGCTTCTGATACTAGCTAATAGTCCTACTAATTTAGGCTGATGTATTTTGATGCTCGAATCTTAAATTTGTCCATAACATTGGTCTTAACCAATAAGTAACCTCTTTTTATCCACACACAGAATCAATTTTGTAGTCTGCACCAAGGCATGTATGTATGTGCACCATCAGAAGAAAAATGTGCTACTGGGTGGTGGTCTATTAATCATCTGGGAGGCATTTGAATCTCTTTTGGACAGTGCCCCAAGCACTCAGTTTACAGGGAACATTGAAGATGTAACTGCTTGTTCTCAAACAATTAGATCTTGATTAATTTTTACAGAATTGGCTTGGGATGCCAGATAACTTGTAACATAATAATGGGGATTTTTTTTCTGAATTTATTCTTACCTGTCTGCATTTCAGACTAGGACTTACAATTCAGATGCTGCCAAAATGGTGAGGTGACATTGATGTGTATATACACTTCCTCTAGACTTGTCTGGAGATGCTCTGAAAGTGTGGTTTCTTGGATCTAGGCTAATCCCAAATTCTGTATTACACTGTTTTGGCCTGCATCACTGCCACACATCTCCTGACCGATACCTTTGGTTTTATTAATGGTGGTTGGAACAGATTTTGCTATGGGTTTTTTTTAAGTGGTAAAGAGTATCAAATTAATGCCCAGTAACTCTCTGGATTAGTCATGAATGTGTAAAAATCCAAAAGACTCTTCCCTCTAAACTGTCATAAATATTTTAATTTCTGTTCTAGGCATCTTTTCTAACAAAAAAGCTAAACATTGGAGGAAAAAGAGTGAATCTTGCAATATGGGTATGTTTATCTGCCTCTTAAGCTTTTGTTCACTCATAATGTTGACTTGAATGTTAAAGTTTATAAAGCAAAGTCTTGTGCTTAAAATACTATGCACAAATAGAATCTCAAATGTGTATTCATTTTGGTGTAATCCTTGGTAAAAATTCAGTCTTCCATTTAATGAGTGAAACTAGAAATTTCTGTATTGTCATCAATTCTGTCTTAATGAACGTAACAAGTGTGTCTTCCACCTGCAGGATACAGCAGGTCAAGAAAGATTCCATGCTCTGGGTCCAATTTACTACAGAGATTCTAATGGAGCTATTTTAGTGTATGACATAACCGATGAAGACTCTTTCCAGAAGGTACCATGACAGATTCATCCATCTTCCCCACAAGTAAACAGGTTCCAAAGCTTCCCTACAGCATGAGTGTGCAACTTGAAGGTTTTCATTTCATCAGTAACTAAACATGTACTTTCTAATCTAGCTAATGACTACTTTATAAACTTAGTTTGAAATTGACTGCACTGCTGTTCAACTTTCAATCTTCAGTTTTTCTATTCTAGTAGAAAATGCATCCTAAATTTGTTCAGATTTGAAGTTGGAACTCTTGTTTGTTCCTGGTAAAATTTAAGATTAATGCTGTTTGTGGTAGTGTTAGAATTGAACTGCTTATATTCTGAAGTAATTGGGTCAAGTCCATTCGAAACACTGTGCTTGTAGATATTGGTCCATCACTACATGAGACTTCTATATGGCTTATAATAATTAGTATTATATGTGCCTATTGCATATATCTGTTAAAAACCTAGCCTGCTACAACATGCCTTGCTTGTGGAATACTCTACTTCCAGAAATATTTTTTGATGCTATACCATAGCTTTCAAGTTCTTATACTAAAGAGACTTTTTCCAAGAACAATGTGCCCCTTAATTACTTCAACCATCTAACAGTAAGTAGAGGCAAGATTGGAGTTTGTTTCTATTTAGAGCTGCAGAGATATTCCAGAGTTCAGTCCATAGATTTAAGTGGTCTACTTCAGAATCTTACCAATTAATATTCTGACTTTCATTTTTAATAGTTTTTTTTATGAATTGAGAAACTTTGTTTAAAGGGGTTTTTGCACTTCTGTATGATGGGTGCTGATTTTATTTGACTTCCTTTCAGTTAACTCCCTCCATTAATTAACCATAATGAAATAGAAATTCATAAGCTTATACATCAGTGGTTGCTAAACTTTTTGGCCCATGCCCTGCCTGGCTCAGTGCAAACCTTTCTGTGGCCCACCATCTTGCTAGTGCTGCAGCGAGGGATAATGTATTAATTCAACCAGTAAGAAAGGAAATATTAATTTAAATTAAACCAATTAAGCACTTAAACCAACATGAGAGAGTTAACCAAACTTCATTATAAATGAAGTAAAACAGTTCCTGGTGTCTTGTCTTAATTTATGGCAGGGGAACCTTTTTTGGGTTGGGCCACTGACACCCAGAAAAATCGGGGGGAGCCCACACAATGAGAAGCAAAAAACAAACTCTCCCAAAATCCCCAACCCTCTATGTAGTCCCCCATCTGAGACTCTTCACTCCTCTGTCATTCCAGCCCCATGGGGAGAGGGGAAGGAAGGACTGAGATTCAGGGCTTTCCATAGGCCAGATTACTAATGCTGAAACCCCAGAAGAGTTAGATATGGGGCTGGGACAGAAAAGAGGAGTTCAGTGTGGGGGACAAGGCTGCCAGCAAGAGTGATGGGTTTGCAGGATCTGGGCAAGAGGTGATACGCAGGAGAGGAGTGAGGGTGCAAGGTCTGGATGGGAGGTAGGGTGCAGGAGCAGGCTGGGAGTAGGGTGTCTGGCTGGGGGGAGGGGGCAAACGCAAGGGAAGGTACATTGTGTGTGTTTGGGGGGTGGGGGGAGAGAATAGTGCAGAACAAGGGAGGATGCAAGAGTGGGCTAGGGGTGGAAAGGGTGCCTGACTAGGGGGTGGAGACAAGTAGGTGTCGAGCTAGGGGAAGGTTGCAGGAGCAGGCTGGAAGTGCAGGGCCTCACAGGGGTGTGTATGTGATGGGGCTGGGGTCTGTGGATGGGTGGGGGAGCACTTACTTGCCTTTGAGCCTTGTGCCAGTCCAGGCATAACCTCCTGCTGCTCCCATTGGTCAGATTCTTGCAAATAGGAGCTGCAAGGAAAGCCTCCAAGCAGCATGCCAACATGCTGTGGTTGCAGGTGGGGGAAGGCTTCTTCCTCATGAGCTAGATCACTCAGCAAGGCTTGAGTCTCTCCCTACTACCCCCAAAGCCAATTCTGGTGCTCCAACTGCCTGGGGGGGTGGGGAGACAGGGAAGGGAAGGGTAGGGCTGGAGTGCCAGTGCTTGCTCCCTGCTGTGGAGGGGGAAGAGCAGGGCTTGGCTCAAGCTGCAGACCACCTAGGAAATGGCTGCAGATTACTAGTGGGCTGCAGACCACATCTTGAGAATGACTGCCATAAAAATACTTGTGGTAGGGATGTGACAGGGTGATGCCCTGCAGGCAGGGCTGAGAACCAGCAGGGCTCGAACCAATTCCAGCTAGGCTGGAGCAGTTGCTGGTCCAGATTTCACTTGAGTCCGTTAAATGTTATGTCAGCCTAATGTTTAACGAGTTAACTGCAAGTTAGATATAAAATTATCTGCACACAAAGGTCTGAATACAGGCATCAAAAGCTTCTGATGCAAGTGTTCTAAAAATAGTCAAATTACCATTGGCATGTGTGATCTTAAAGCAAACAGTTGGCAAAATTAACATGGCTCGTATTAAATAGATATGTCTTAGTAGCCTTAAAGTTGAATAGTTGGATCCATGAGCTTCAAGTGTTTAATCTATGTTGCTTAAAATGACTCCTATCTAACTCTAATTTGTATGCAGGTTAAAAACTGGGTCAAGGAATTAAGGAAAATGTTGGGAAACGAAATCTGTTTATGTATAGTTGGTAAGGCCATTTTATTTTTAACACTGTTCTGAGTGGCTGAGATGTGTGCTGGTTAAATAATTGCAATTTTACAGTAACGTAAACATTGCCCTCTTTCTGTGATGGTGGCATATACTCCTATAGAACAGATCAGCCTCCTTACAAATGTGAACTCAAGTGTATGCATTAATATCTCTTACGAGTTGAGGTAAGATTTGGTGTGAAAAGAGGCATTAACTTGAGCTTCCTCAGTATGTATTAAGGCTAAGGTCCATAAATAGATTTGGGTGTTCAACACTGACAGCTGGTGCCTAATGTTTACCCCAAACATCTGGAGGTGGTGGTGCTGGTGGCTAGAGTACTTGTCTACAAGGTGATTGGGCTAGAGAGAATGGCAATGGATGTGTAGTCTGGTGATCAAGATGCCCATCTGAGAGGTGGGAGACCCAGAATTCAGTCCTCCAGCTCCGCTTACCTTCATTATATCCACAATGGTACAGTTTCAACAGACTTCATCCTTTTCTCCCAATGACTAAGCGATAGGACATTCGCATGCAAGCACTCTTCTGAAGGCTGGGAGGACCCTCCCCACTTAATTTCCTTTGCTGCTTAGTGACAATATTATAATTGGTCTCCTCTCTCTCAGGTGAGTGCTATGACTCTTAGCCCAGTAGTCAGAGGACATCACCACCACCTCTGGTCACACCTTGATCCAGGAGGCAGCTTCTGAGCATGTCTCCTGGATTAAGCCCTGCATGAGAGAGAGGCAGGTGAATGCTTTTTCCCACTTTATGGACACAGGTGTCCAAATGCCTAGAGAGGCTGCAGTATACATGACCAAAGGTAGGAAATGTGGCATAATGAAGACTCTTCTACCCTGAACATTTATGTACTTAACTTATTGGATGCCTACAGCATTTGGCAGGAGTTCCGTGGCTCACAATGTAGCCTAAAATTGGGATTTAGGGGTGTCAGTACTTAGTATTTAGGTAGACGGAGGGAAGTATGTTAAAATATCTTTAACACTTACAGTGTAAAACATTTTAACGACACCAGCTTGATATAAGATTGTTTGAAGGTAGTGTGTGGAAAGTGATAGATCCAGGATCTCTAGATTTCTTCTTTAGGCTGTTTTATACTCAAACTGCAAAGATGTAAACACTGATGTCTTGTCTGACAGGTAACAAAATAGACTTGGAAAAAGAGAGGCATGTTTCAGTTCAAGAAGCAGAAACGTAAGTGTTAAACTTTAATTGTACAACTTCAAATTGGTTAAAGGCATTAGTTATGGCAGAATTGATTTATCACAAGACTAAAGGTATGTCTACACTAAAGAGTGTCTTTTGGAAAAACATCTATTTTTTTTCCAGAAACTTCATTTATATCCATACTGCAATCACATCCTCTCGAAAGAACAGAAGGGTTTTTCCAGCAGTGGTAATTCTTGTAGAACAAGGAAGAAACCCTTTTTTTCTTCTCTTCTCTTCCCCCTCCCCCCCAAAAAAAATCTTTCAGAAAAAGGCATGTGTGGACAGGGAAGAGGGAATTCTCTCCCCCTCCCCCCTTCTTCCAAAAACACAGGTGCTCTGATGGCCACTCCATCCATAGTAATCAGTTTAAATAGGGAAGTGTCCACACTGAATGGATGCTGTCTTTGGAAAAAGCAGATCACTTTTTTTTTATGCACTTTAGCAGTGTGGATGCGCTCTTTCGGAAGCTTTTTCAGATGATCTCTTCCAGAAAAGCTTCTTCCGAAAGAAGCCTGTAGTCTAGACATAGCCTAAAGGAGCAGTAGTGTTTTCAGTGAATAGTGCAGCTTGAGTACCATGACTCTTATATTGTGTGCCAGAATTACTGCTATAGCTACTATTCCTTCCATGTCTTACCATCAAATCCTTTAACGTATATTACATAACTTACAATATATTCTGTAGTAAAGTTTCCTAAGTGTTTTTTAATCATATATTTCCCCTTTTATTGCTTTCTATGACCAGTGTGATTCGGTGATGCTTCTGAATCTAGAGGACTGGAAGGGACCTTGAGAGACCATCTAGTACAGTTCCTTGCACTTGTGGCATGACTAAGAGGTCTCTACAGCCACCTGTCAATGATTGTCGAATCTGCTCTTAAATCTCCCTAGACAATCTAGAAACTCTTCGTCAGAGTGGTTGAGCACTAGAATAATGTCCAACCTAAACCTCACTGTAATTTAAGCTCAGTACCTGTCCTATCCTCAAGTTAGGGAGAGCTTGAATTTTTCCAGTCTCCTTGCAACAACGTTTTATGTATCTGAACAGCCATATTGGGTCAGAATAAAGGTCCATCTAACCCAGTATCCTGTCCTCCAACAGTGGCCAATACCATGTGCCTCAGAGGAAAAGAACAGAACTGGTCATAGAGTATCCATGCCCTGTCATGCCTGTTACCCATTTTCAGCTTTTTATCTATTGGCTATTTTGCAATGTAGAAGAGTGGCATCAAATTTAAATACAAAGTTTAAGGTGGTCAATATAAAAATCAAGTAGGATATTTGTATTACAAAATATTACATAGGTTTTAAAAAAAGCAGCTTGAAAAGACTGAGTTAATATTCCATGTGGTCTCATAAGTAAAAGCTTTTTCTGTATTTACACTACGTACAGGTATGCAGAATCAGTGGGAGCAAAACACTATCATACTTCAGCCAAACAAAACAAAGGAATTGAAGAACTCTTCCTTGACCTCTGTAAAAGTAGGTACTGTGGTTGGAGTGATAAGATGATGAAAGCTCTCCTCAGAATGAAGTCCTCTTTAATAGGCTGGAAGATGGATTTATCAGTTGATCTACTGTGGTTTAATTTAATAAAAATCAGTCTTACAGATGGTCAGTTATGTAAACTAATCTCTTGATGCTAAAGTCATCTTTCATTTGTTGAATGTCTTCAGTCCCTGAGCCAATATTCAAGTGACTGCATGTTTGAATAGACTGAGATTTGGTAGCAAAGAAAAATCAGGCACACTGCCTACACTTATGTGCTTATTGAGTGATTAATACATTACAACAGATACAATACACAAAGTGATTTTTTTGAGATGTTAATTTGTTTGAAGTTCAATCCTCAACTAGACAATAGGGGTTCTGGTGTACAAAGCAAAAATTAAAATCAAGTTCAAGGCTTGTACAGGCTATTTGGAGTACAGGGAAACCCTTGTCATTCGCAGTTGGTGCAGTCCTGCCTCCACTGCAAGTGGTGAAATTCATGAATATTGTGAGGCACAGCTCCTCACAGTGGCTTCTGGCCCTAGGGTAACTCACTGTGGCTCTCAGCACCTTCTCCTCTCCCTACCTTCTCTTCCTCCTCCTTCTCCCCCCCCTTCCCCCCCAATACACAGGTGCATGAATCGTGAAGGTCTCCTATATAATGGAATTTCAAATACTAAACTACTTTAAACCATTTCCTATTTCAAACTACATCCAGGGTTCCTCCTTCACCCTTTTGTTAAAACTGGTTGATGGGGAAAACACACACCTCCCATTTTTTCTCACTGCAGTTCTTATCTTTTAACTCTTCCACTGTTTGCCAGAAACTTGGCTTCAGAACTCTAACTTGAAGTTCTCTATTCAGTTGCTGTCCGGAGTCAACTTGTTTATTGCCTGGCAGCATACAACTTGAACCATATTCCAATCCATACTATTTGGAATGTAGGTACCTTACTCCTTGCATCTATACATTCTCTGAACATATGCCTCTTAAACCTTCAAAGGAGCTAAATTAGGAAGGAAACAGATCTGAAATAATTTAGTAGGCTGCTTTCTTCTTTAACTGTAGAAGTTTCAGCTGTAACTTTGTTCCTGTGCACGGGCTCTTGCGCTAGCTAATATGCAAGACTATTTGGGCCTACATGCATGATCTAACTCAACTACTGAAGTCAGAGCTGCTGGGTATTCTGTTTCTGGATCTTGAATATGGTTTAAGATTTTAAATGTAGCAACCTAAATGTTCCGTGGTATCAGCTGGATCACTTGCATGTTGGAAAATTGTTTGTTCCTCTTCTATTGCTAAACATATTCAGGTTGATAACAGCACTGTTAATTGAGATTAAATACTTTGTTGAAGAGTTCAAAGCTTTGACATATTTACAGTTGGAGTGCAGTGTCATCCTGATCTGAGTTTCCATTTTCTAGGAATGATAGAAACTGCTCAGGTGGATGAAAGAGCAAGAGGCAATGGTTCTAGCCAGTCGGGAACTGCAAGACGGGGTGTACAGATCATTGATGATGAGCCACAAACACAGAGCAGTGGAGGGTGCTGTTCTTCTGGATAACTGTATAAAACTGTGGATTATTGCCCTGTCTACATGAAGACTGCCATATTTCAAGTCATGCTTTCTTTACAAATGGAGTAATAGAATTAACAGTATTGAAAAATAATCACTTATAACACTGCAGAGACCTTAAGTGCTAAACTAGTGGAGTCAGACCAGAAAATTGGCATTTTCTACAGAGGTTAACAAAGCAATTACCAATGGCCTTTTTACATATTTTTCTTTAATGAGGAATAATATGCATGTAGAAAAGACCTATTTAAAGGCTTCATTTATATTCTTTTAAATCAGATCATTTATTTAATAACTTATATACATTGTTGGAAGGGTATGCATTTTTGCAGCTGTTTGTATTTTGTGGTAGATTCAACTGTATTACTTCTAAACTGCAAACTGATTTTTTTTTTTTTTTTAAATTAGCAGATACCTGAACTATTTTTGCAGGGCTTACACAAGCCCATAACTGTCAACTACTTTGATATACTCTCTATTCATTCTGTATACCAAGCTGGTAAAATGCATTGTAAATTACATATTAAATATTTTATCTGCTTTTACAAGTGCAGGTGCAGAAATACCTACATCAGTCTTGTCAGTGAGTAACAGTTGGTGGAAAGATTCAGGCTTTTCATTTTTGTACTTTGCTCATTTCTTCACCCCTTCTTGCAGACTCCTAATAGTGTATTAAGTTACATAGAGGTCTTTAAAAGTCTCTGCCTGGTAAGCAGCAGTATGCTACAGAGCATCTCAGGTGGCACAGAGTGAGTGATGTTAACCTAGTGGGACTTGAGTTCGTGGTCAACAGTGGAGCACATTGACATCACAAGTCTGCAATTGCTTCATCCTCCCCTTTAGTTTCCCAAGGAAGCCTAAGCTTACAGAAATTAGCCCTTGTCCATGTGGTGACTACTAAATGACGTTTTCAGTTGTATAATACCTTTGCCTATCAGGACAGCATTTTAAACTTCAATGAGCATTAGTTGTTCACTCAAGCTTTGTACTATGAACAAGTATGTGAAATTTCAACTTTCCTGAATTATTTTTTGGTTTGAAGTGGATTATAGTGGAAGATGTAAAGTTTCAAGATGCAGTGTAAACTATAGGAACACTAGAAAGGACTAAATTATATTCCTGTTTTTGCTTCTTTCATAAGGCTTGGTGAAGCCTTCCTTAAAGTTTTGGGCAGAGACTTTTGGAAATATTGTTTAAAAATATCTTCAGAAAAAAACACATGGTGACAAAAGTTAAACTATTGTGCTTTGACTTGTTCTGATTTGTCATGTTTGGGGAAAAAACAGTAAAAGTGGCATCTATGACAAATAGAATATTCTTTGGCCTTTTTTCTGAAGTGCAGAACAAGTATCGCTTAATTACACTTAACACCTTTTTAGTACATGTGCATCTTATACAATACAGATGATAAATCCATCAGTTTTCTTTCATTCTCCTCCTGCACAACAAAATGCTAGAATAAAGTTGAAGTACTTCATGTACAACAGTAGGAACCTAAATTTCCACAACTCAATTTTAGCTACAGTGGGCTTAAACTTGACAGATCAATCCAATTAGGTAACATTCCAAATGTGTAAAGGGCTTATCCATCTTAATAAAGACCTGGGGTAGCAAGTTGCTATTTCTTAGCTGATGTGAATGGCTGCGAAAAACAAATCTAGTCAGTCTTATGTTTTGAATTCTCATTGCACTGCAAAAGGAGAGGTGTCTGTCACAACATTTAAGAAGCTTCTAGGGGGAGAGAGGCCTCCCCCAGCACCACTCCTTCTGCTGGGGGGGGGGGGGGAGAGGAGAAAGCACTGTGAGTGCATGCATGCCACCATATGAAGGGAAGAGCATGTATCCCAAAGCAGGGGGGAAGGAAAAGGATGCACAGCCCCAATCACTCCTGGGGGGGGCAGGGATGGAAGAGGCTGCATGGCCCATGCTTGCCTGCCACTCAAACAGCAGGTAGGGAAGAGGAACCACAACCCAAGCCTCCCTGGCCCCAAGAGCAGCAGGGAGAAAGGAGGCCGTGTGTGCATGCAATACCTCCCCCCCTTCCCCCCATACCACACACAGGAGGGGAAGAGCACAAGCATGCTCCAGAGCAGCGGGGAGGGAAGAGGATGCACAGCTCCAACCTCCCCTCCTGCCCCTGGAGCAGGCCGTGGCCTAAGCTTCCCTGGCTCTGGGAGCAACAGAGAGGAAGGAGGCCAAGTGTGTGCACCATGGGGAGGGGAGGAGGATGCATGTGTGCACCCCACCTCCCCAGAGCAGCAGCAAGGAAAGAGGATGCATGGCTCCAAACTTCTCCTCCCCCTAACCCCACAGGAAAGTAGGGAGGGAAGAGGCTGCATTGCCCAAGCCTCCCCAGCTCCAGGAGCTGTAGGGAGGGAGGGGGAGATCACATGTACATCTACTGTCACATCGGGATGGGTAATGCTAGTATTGGTTAAATGGCCATGGAAGCTAGCTATTCCACGGAATCACATTACTGTGTTGAAATACATGTGGTGTGTGTTATCAATAACTTACTAATTTAACAAATTACATTTTTGATACCTGTACATCTCACTATTCACAGTAGGTGGGAGTAATTTTAGATAACTTTAAAATAGTAACATTTAAGTTCCCTATTTGCTTGCTCTTACTGGGTTTTTTTATTTCCATATGTTTTCTACAGCAGTGTTCTCTCTAAGTAATAGCCTTTCCTTAGGAAGAAATTAGATATGGTGGGTTTGAGCTCTTCTACCAAAGATCAATTGACTTGAATAGTACACTTCACCTGGGAGACAAATGTGAAACTCCTGTTCCCTGTCAGTTTGTAATAGCTCTCCACCACATCTCTGCATCTTCTCACAGTACTTTCACGGTCCAATAAAGAGAAACCAAATCAAACAGGAACTTGAATTACTTCTGGTACAGATTCCTTTCATGTTGTCTCTCACTAACATCCTTAACTTTGCTTGAAATGTATAACATACTTTTAATGCCTTACTCAAACTATAATGAACAAAGTCCCCTCACTTCAGTAATTACTTCTGCCTAATTAAAATGTGCAGCTATGTTGACGAGCACTATTGCAATATTAATACCTACACTATAGAAGTAACCATTTTAATTGACGCACAATTAAATGGTACAAGGGTAATTTCAAGTTAAGCCCTGCTGTGTAGATGCATCTTACGTGTCTTCTCCTAGGGTGGGCTCCACAAAAGAACTTGGGCATTGCTGTGCTCAGCATCCCAGTAAATGGAAATGCTTGTACTAAGTTGCATTATCTCAAACTGTCTCTAGTTTAATACTAGTCTCAATGCAAGAGCAAGCTATTCAACTACATAGACCACCAACCTCTATATGGCAATTCCCCCCTTCCCCATGGCACATGGATCAGTAGCACTCCAACTTGCTACCCTAGGTCACGACCCAAACCCTCTACACCTACCCTGGTCACAACTCCCACCCAGACCCTATACTCCATCCCATATACTTCCACCACATCAGAATTTTCTTCTGTACCCACATTCTTCCTTGAACTCCATACCCCTCTCCTAGTCACAAACTCTCCTTCACCTAAACTCCCTCTCAGATCCCCCACACCCTTTTCTGCAACCCGATCCCCTACTCCAAGCTCCTTTCTGTGCCCAATCTCCATCCCAGACCCCGCCTACCCTCATAGAAAAGTGCAGTCCTTGGCCACTTACCAAAATCTTGAAGTGGTCCCCAATCAAAAATTATTGCTCACCCCTGCTTTATGTAATTACATTTCTGAAACAGTGGAGCTCTGTGTGGTAGAGCTGTTATTCCCTTGTGCACATTTTCCTGGTGGTTTAATGAGTGCTAGCATATGTATAAACAGGGTAGCTGTGGTGGGCAGAATACAATCTTTCACCTGAAGCCAAGGGGTCTATACTTAGCCTGGATAAGTGGTGTTGCTGCTGTGATTACACTACTGGGTTGGGTCTTATTCAAAAGCCAGCTGCCAGAGGAGGCTGGTGACCTTATAACCTTTAGCCAGGGGGTTAGGATATTAGTCTGAGATGTGGGTGGAGGATCCAGGGGAGACTACATGGGTCAGAGGCTGATCTTAGCCTTTCTCCCCCACTCTGTCCTCTGCTGCCTGGGGGGACATGAGGGGACATGTCACCCATGGCAAAAAGTAAACATAATAGGCCCAACCGCTTTCAAAAATTGAGAAGTCCATGGCTTGCTGCCCCCTACTATTCTGGCCTGGATGGTTCCTGTTCATGGATTGCTAAGAGCAATAGGTGTCTCTGCAATCCAGATTTAAACATCTGACTCCAAGAGGGGGACGGAGCTTAGCTCACACACCTCAACTACATATCCCACTGGCTAGCTTAGGTGTGATGCTGCCTAGAGAACTGGCTTGTGGAATGCATGTAAAGTGTCTCTTTCCGTGCATTACATAGGGAGTATGGGTATCTAACTCAAGCTTAGGGGATTCAGTGTTGTGATGTTGGGACACTGAGCACAGCAATGCCTAAGTTCTTTTGTGGAGCCCACCCTAGAAGAAGCCACTAAGGGTGCATCTACACAGCTGGACTTAACTTGAAATAAGCTATGCAAATTGAGCTACGTCAATTGCGTAGCTTATTTCAAAATTGGGAGCATCTACACTGCACTTATTTTGAAATAGAGCACTCTTCCTCCAACTTGTCTTACTCCTCGCACAATGAGCGTTACAGGAGTTGAAGTAAGAAGTCCTACAGCTTGACAGTATTTCAACATTATTTTGAAATAACTACCTGCAATATCAACTCGGATTAAGTTATTTCGAAATAACACTAGTTATTTAAAAAAAATGTTGCTATGTAGACATGCCCTTAGAGACTGACTGGAGTTCAGCTACTTTCTGGATTGGAGCTGAACACAGTACAGTTGTCTTGAGAACATCATCCTCCCTCTTTATGCAGGTGTCACAGACTTCAGTTATTTCTGTCTCCAGTAGGTATAAGAACCGTATCTTTCTGCTTTGCATGTCTGAACTAGACAAAATACAAAGCTATGGAAAGTGCTATAACAGTCATATGCAATAACTCACTTGCATGCCATAAGTGGGCCAAAATGATATCCTCCATGCAGAGTGACCTTGCACATAGCTCAAGATCTACAAAATGGCATCCTCCCTGGGGTCATAGAATTATAGGGTTGGAAAAGACCTCAGAAGGTCATCGAGTCCAACCCCCTGCCCAAAGCAGTACCAGCTCCAACAAAATCACCCCAGCCAGGGCTTTGTCAAGCCGGGACTTAAAAACCTCTAGGGATGGAGATTCCACCACCTGTCTAGGGAACCCATTCCAGTGCTTCACCACCCTCCTAGACAAATAGTTTTCCAAATATCCAACCTAGACCTCTCCCACTGCAACTTGATACAATTGCTCCTTGTTCTGCCATCCGTCACCTGAGAACAGTCTCTCTCCATCCTTTTTGGAACCTTCAGGTAGTTAAAGGCTACTATCAAATTCCCCCTCACTCTTTTCTTCTGTAGACTAAACAAACCCAAATCCCTCAGCCTCTCCTAAGTCATATGCTTCAGCTCCGTACTCATGTTTTGTTGCCCTTGGCTGGACTTTCTCCAATGCGTCCACATCCTTTCTGTAATGGGCGCCCCAGAATTGGACATAACACTCCAGATGTGGCCTCACCAGTGGGAATAATCATTTCTCTAGATTGGCTGGAAATGCTCCTCTTAATGCACCCTAATATGCAGTTAGCCTTCTTGGCAACAAGGGCACACGGTTGACTCATATCCAGCTTCTCATCCACTGTAGTCCCCAGGTCCTTTTTTGCCAAACTGCTGTTTAGCCAGTCAGTCCCCAGCCTGTAACAATGCTTGGGATTTTTCTGTCCCAAGTGCAGGACTCTGCACTTGTCCTTGTTGAACCTCATCAGATTTCTTTTAGCCCAAACCTCCAATTTGTCTAGATCACTCTGGACCCTACCCCTGCCCTCCAACATATCTACCTCTCCCCTTAGCTTAGTGTCATCTGCAAACTTACTGAGGGTGCAGTCCATCCCCTCATCCATGTCATTAATAAAAATGTTGAACAAAACTGGCTCTAAAACTCCACTTTGGGGCACTCCACTTGAAACTGACCGCCAACCAGACATCGAGCCGTTGATCGCTACCCGTTGGGCCCGACAACCTAGCTAGCTTTCTATCCATCTTACAATCCATTTATCCAATCCATACTTCACTAACTTGCTGGCAAGAATACTATGCTAGACCATATCAAAAGTTTTGCTAAAGTCAAGGCATATCATGTCCACCGACTTCCCCATGTCCACAGAGCCAGTTATCTTGTCATAG